ATATATACACATATACATATACATACACATATACATATACACACACACTTGTATCTGTGCCGATGCCGAGTATTTGGGCGAGTACTCGGCCAAATGCTCCGGTGCCTAGCCCGATACCGGAGCTTTCAGTATCAGGAAACCGAGCAGCGAGTCATTACACGCTGCCCGCCTTTCTGATTAGCCAGAAAGCCAGCTTCATGCTCCCTCGTCACCTGGTGATGAGGGAGCATAGAGCCGGCTTCCAGGCCATTCAGGATAATGGTACTTTATCAGACGGCAGAGCATTCCTCATCATCCCAGCCACGGTACTATGCTATCAGATTGCAGAGCATTCCGCATCATCCCAGCCATGTTACAATGTTATCTGACTGCAGAGCATTCCTCCCCACCCCAGCCATGGTACCATGTTATCTGACTGCAGAGATTTGTAGTCCTCTATAGTGGACGGTATTATTCTGAATGGCTCTATATTGTATTGCTGAGATTTGTAGTCCCTCTACAGCTTGGAGTCAGTGGCAGAACTACCAAGGTCATAGTGTTTGCAGCTGGGACTCCACCACGGTCCCAAAATCATTAGTCTGTATTGTTTTAAAAAACTGTCACATGAGACTGGAAAAAAAAAAGTATTGGTAATTGGTGAGAACTTGAGGAACGGTATTGCTACGCATACTCTAAAAACAATGGTATCGGACCATCCCTACCATAAATCTTCAATACAGATATTACAATAAAGTGTCTGTGGATTCTAAGTAATATGTATGCATTGTGTGCCATGGCATTTACTATTTGGAATACACCTACCTTGACACAGCCCTAATAAAATCCAGCGATACTGTACACTTGTATTTGGGTCCATCCAGCTGATCATCATGACCCACCAAGGTTAACAGCTGAAGTGTCACAAGAGAAGAGATCTAGTAAAAGAAAAGAAAATCATAGCAATAATCATAATATGATTTTACACCGAATGTAGTATATACAACAGCACAAGCAAATCAATTCAAAGATAATGTAATAGCTTGACTCATTTTCTGCTGTATTCCATTTGAACAGCTGTGACACCACAGGCAGCTCAGCTCTAGTTTACACACATGTTCAAACAACTGTTAAACACAGATGTATAGTAACTACATGTACTGATTGACGGCATACCTGTGAGAAGATGTTTGCAGTGGGAGCCACTCTGCTGTCCACAATGCTGTACAGAATGGCCAAAAGTCTATCCAGAGGAAATGGCTTGGGACCAAGTAGATGGTTGCTAGTCTAACAAGAAAACATAAATGTACCATTATGGAATATTGACGCAGGAAACACAACCTAAATAAATAATCACTACTACATTGTAAGCTCTCATGAGCAGGGCCCTCCTAACCCCCCTGTATTGAAATTGTATTGTAACTGTACTGTCTCCCTCCATGTTGTAAAGCTCTGTGCAAACTGCTGACGCTATATAAATCCTGTATAATCATAATTACTGCAAAGTCATCATCCAGCATCTTCACAGTCTCCAAGATGTAAGTCAGTTATCAACCCTAAGGCCTCATTCACACACAAATCGGCCCGCACGTGCAGCTCCGTGCTGCGTGCGGGGCCGTACCAAGCAGCTGCCGGGAAGGACAGGTGCTGCGTGTGATTAGTACGCAGCCCCCGTCCTTCTCTATGGGTCTACGCAGCCGTACGTCCCCTACGCTGGCCCGCCCTGCACGTCCGTAGGGGTGCGGGTGTGCGCATTCATACGCCGCCGGAATGGATCATGTATGCGTCCCGGCCATAAAACCCACACCCCTACGGACCTGCAGTTGAGGTGAGCGTACGGCCGCGTAGTCCCATGGAGAAGGACGGGGGCTGCGTACTAATCACACGCAGCACCTGTCCTTCCCGGGAGCTGCTGGAGTACGGCCCTGCACGCAGCACGGAGCTGTACGTGCGGGCCGATTCGTGTGTGAATGGGGCCTAATACTACGAAAGTCTGAGGAAAAACACATTTGCAACGGTCCTTATATTTAGAAGTATGTAAACCTTAAAAATAACTTCTCTTCCTTCCTTTCTGGTCGATTAAATGCAACATTAAAAAGGGTTTTCATATATCTGTTTGATTAGTGCAAAGGAAATACCTGTTGATCGTCTCAGAAATCCTGTGAGCTAAAAACTTTCTGTGATGCACTCAGTTATACTGTTCCCAGATATCTCTGTAGACTACAAAACACTTCCTCCTTAGGCTAAGGAAAGAGAAGGCAGGATTCTGTAGACACGTCAACAACACTATTACCTCATAGATACAGTACAGTGAGTTAGAGTCGTCACCCTAAGACAGGAAGTGTGTCACTGGCAGGATTAGCAGGTGAAAACAAAGAAACAAAAAAAAAAACCTTGAATTTTGGATTATAAAAAAACAAACAAAAAACAAACAATGAGTACAGCCACTAAACTTAAAGCATATATACACTATATTGCCAAAATCATTGGATTCAGGTGTTCCGTGAAATTTCCTTTTTACTACATATTCCGCGGCCACCTGTTCGTGGTATTATAACAAAGTAGAAGCAACTGGGAACAACAGCAACTCAGCCATGAAGTAGTAGGCCACATAAAATGACAGAGCGGGGTCAGCACATGCTGAAGTGCACAGTGCACAAAAGTCGCCAACTGTCAATTGCAGAGTCAATACCTACAGACCTCCAAACATCATGTGGTCTTCAGATTGGCACAACAATAGTGTGTAAAGAGCTTCATGGAATGGGTTTCCATGGCCGAGCAGCTGCATCCAAGTCTTAGATCGCCAAGTGCAATGCAAAGCGTCGGATACAGTGGTGTGAAGCATGCCGCCACTGGACTCTAGAGAAGTGGAGACGTGTTCTCCGGAGTGACGAATCACGCTCCTCTGTCTGGCAATCCGATGGACGTGTCTGCGTTTGGTGGTTGCCAGGAGAACAGTACTTGCCTGACTGCATTGTGCCAAGTGTAAAGTTTGGTGGAGGGGGATTATGGTGTGGGGTTGTTTTTCAGGGGTTGGGCTTGGCTCCTTAGTTCCAGTGAAGGGAAATCTTAAGGCATCAGCATACCAAGACATTTTGGACAATTTCATGCTCCTAACTTTGTGGGAACAGCTTGGGGATGGCCCCTTCCTGTTCCAACATGACTGCGCACCAGTGCACAAGAGCAATGTCCATAAAGACATGGCTGAGCGAGTTTGGGGTGGAGGAACTTGACTTGCCTGCACAGAGTCCTGACCTCCAACCGGAGGGCTGAATGAAAAAGATTTAACAAATTCCTCAATCCATGCTAAACAGTGTGGATGGACAAATCTCACACTGTTTTCTTTGTATTCTGACAGTGACAGGTGTGCTGCTGTAAGAACACTTGAACAATGACTGTTGCCGATTGGCTGCCACCACTGTTCGACCCAAAATTGTTTCATTGTGCCTTTTTGATTTTCTGATCGAAGGATGCTGCACAAAAGGGGGGGCGACAGGGGCACTTACTGAAGGAATTTCATCTGGTTCATCAAGAAGTGTCCAAAACTCCTACAGTGTATGGCCAGCTTAATACAAACACGTGGTGGGTGTGCCTACATACAAAAACACACTGGAGAGCAATAATTCTAGGGCCAGATCAGCGGGTTTTATTGCACTTATCAAACAAAATGCTATCAATGGTTTATTTAACAGACCACAAGGTAGCAAATAAGAGAAGCTCACGCTCTTGACACGCACTTTAAACTCATGAACAAGCATTTAATATATGGTAGTGTAGCCCCTATAGATATAGTTATATGTGTTCATGTGTATATGTGCTATTACAGCGATTTCTGTTCCTAACTGTAAAGAGTTAACTTGTCCTCGTGTGTGATCTGGAGGCAGAGACTTATGGGGATTGAAGTGCAGAACTGACTCTGCAACTTTGCTAATAGAGCTCTTTGGAACTACACATCCCAGGATGCTGTGCGAGAGGGAGGAGGAGGGGTATGAACTGCAGGGATTGAGCATGCTCAGTCTGACTGGGGGATCTGGAGGAGACAGGCCTGTGTGTGAGGCACTGGGTGAATTAGGACTGCATGCAGCCGAGCTGTGTGATTCCCACTGACAGATTGGGACACACAGACTCTGTATAGCGGCATTCTGAAGGACTGCTGTTCATCTGCTCAATTGGAGAGACTGTGTTCGAGCGCCCGAACTGAGGCCTAGTCGCATGGCTGAACCGGCCACCGGAGTGATCCAGCCAGCCCAGCAGAGAGAGAGGGAGCCAGACGGAGCCATTAGAGAGGACTGCGAACATCCTGGATGGGTGAGGACCTTTTGTCGGGGACCCAGATGACTTCCCTCTATGTCGCCTGAACTGGAGAGAGAGAGAGAGGATGTCCGGCATCTGCTAGCAGTCTTCATATCTTTCCAACTGACGTTGAGGATTGGTGAGAGGCCTTTGGCCACGTTGACAAACAGTTTGCTGTTCCCACCTGCATTACAGTAAGGGCCCCAAAAGGTGTGTTGGTGTGCTGTGGATCCACGATTTGGGCGGTACATTGGTGTAGGGGGATAGAAATATCCGGTTATTCAGCGGCTCCTTCGGGGGTGAGCGCTACAGTAACATACCAGTCTTTAGATACACTTTGACGTTCCCAGCATGTTTTACAATTTTTAAAGGTGTGCAAAAGCTTTGTAAATTTTAGTAACATAAGAGATCCTTATCCAGAAACATCTTTCTCAAAATAATGCATTACAGTGAAACTCGGGTTCCCTAAAAGCTTTATTACAGATCATCATCTTTCTTTGATCTGAGGAAACCAGTAAACCTTACCATGTTCCTTCTCTAAAGACTGCTCCTTAAAAGGCTGCTCCTTAAAAGGCTGTGCGCTCATTATCACCACCTGAACGCTTGTGGTTTCGTAGCAAGAAAAGCAGCAAAGCATACAAAAATATCTTACCGAAATATAAATAAAGTAAAAACATTGCAGGGAATACCTGTACATTTACCTTCAAGCTCAGACAATCGCACAAGCAGGAAATGAGAATTGTGGGGGGACTCTGTATAGCTTCAGTGTACATAAACCCCCAGAATGCCATACTGCAAGGATGCAATATTTAAACATTTTGTTTTCATTTGAATTGAAATGGAAAGGTAATTTTTACTATTCTTAAATAATAATTTAAAAAAATACTAAGGCTGCCTAAAGGAGCATGCCACACTTGCAATCCTGTTGCTGAAGAAAACTCACCAGCGACTGGATATCTTTTTAGAGTAGAAAAATACTCACCTTCTTCATACCGTCACCCCTCTTTCTGGTAAGTGACATTCTGTATGGTTTCTGTCAAGCAGGGAGCAACATCTCGATGATATGGCCAGCGAGGTAGCAGCAAAGTGGGAGCAGGTGACAAGGAAAGTTCCTACTGCCTATCCAGCAATGGGGTCCCCCCAGGCTCCAGAAGACAATGACAGCCCCGGGGTTCCCAATAACCATCAGCAGCTATATCTATACACATATATACATACCTATATAAAGATATATATCTATAGATATATATCTATATACACACACACCATTCTGTGCCCCTTAAATCAATATAAAAAGTCTTGAGGCCAGTTATAGCCAAGTGATTCAATGCATACTGACGCTGATAAATTCTGCATCTAGGCTTCAATGACCTCTGCTCACAAAAGTGTTAAAAAGTTAAATGGGTTAAATAAAAATTGACAGAATTCTAATTCCACTTGTTAAAGCTAAGCCAAACAAACTGCATTCTTCAGTCGTGTCGAGTGCCTAAATGAAAGCTTAAGCATCAATTTAAAAGAGCAATTTTACATATCTGCTTCAGAATACATTAAAAGCGATTGCACTCTTATCTATGTAATAGGAGTGATCTGCCAAGGAATGGAATGTTTGCAGGTGTCAGCGATTTACATAAAGTAATAAGACTGCAAGGAGAAAAACAAATGCAAGCATCAATAAAAATGCTAAAATACCAGATGACTATTATAGAAAATTTAGTTTAGATGTCACTTTTTTTCCCCCCTTAAGATTGTTGACAAATTAACACTTGAAAAAGACTCAACTTGAAACGGAAAGAAATGCTTATATCTAAGTGCACAATTAAAATCTCAAGGCAGTTTTAAATAAATAACTGCATAATAATGTAAAAGCACTTAGGCTGTGTTCACACGGGCGGCAACTCCTATGAAAAGTGATTCGCAGTGGATTGGTGGCGGTGCAAAGGCTGCCCGGCATTCAGGAGCATGACCTCATGAATGTGGAGATGTTGCTTCACCGCATTTTTAAAGAAAAATCCAACTGGGGATTATCTGTTGCAATACTGCGGCACAACCATGTATCTAATCACATGTGGCAAGGTCCCATTCATTGCAATAGTTGCACTTGACAAGTGGTACCGCCTGCGAAACGTGACATGCTGTATTATCCCCCCCCCCCCCCCCCCCCCCGCAGGGAAGTGCACCGCGGTGTGTGGGAGAG